ATTTTGTTTAACTATCTTGTTTGTCGTCTATAGCTATTCAGATTAGTAATTTTTAGGTGATCTTTCAGATGTTTCTTAAACAAAGAACATCTTTAGCTTCTTAGTTACGGAACATTCGAAAGTGTCCTGTATATTCAATCATTGTTTATTTATATTTACGTTTTTATGTTTGTGTCATCTAAAGAGGCCAATGCGAGGTTGGACGGTTCAAAATTAAATGTCTCAGTTGTGTAATTAAAATTTATGTTTCATTAATTATTTATAAAAAAGTTAATTTGTACCATTTGTAGTTCTTTAATGTAGCATAATTAATGTTACAATACTAGTCGTGTGAAAATAGTAAACAATTATAGTTGTTGCACTAGTCTTTCCAGATACCTTGTTTTTCATATTTGCCAGAGGAAATCATAGACACATATTATGAAATCTTTTGTCTTAGCAATTATATGATAAATACAGTTCATTGTTATGTTCTTATTGGTCAGGCGATCTGAAACTGGTTCAAAATTATAGACATAAATCCTTTGTTGACTTGATTGAAATTGCGTAAAATAAAAAATACGTACAATATCAGTGTAATTGGTTATTATCAGTATAATTGAAAAGGAATATTTTGTTTAATACATTAATTTGAAGCGAATGAGCGGTTGAAGTTTTTTTTTCTACTTGTGTAGGTCTAACTGAACAATCAAATGAATGAGAATATCAATGGCTATTTGCATAAAGAAAAAAATATTGCAAACAGCGTGATTTCAAAAGAATCAATTATTATTAAAAATGCCACTGAGCAATCCGTATCTGACCTTGTCCTTTAAATTTCCGAATTCTTTAAGACATCGTATTTTGACCTATACCTTAACCGTCGCGAGAATGAACCCTTTACCTTATTATTTACATATTTTGTAACAATATATCAGTAATTAAAACAAAATAAGCTTTATCGAGTCCAAGAAAATCTTTAGTAAACACACGATCGTCACTGAAATATTAATAATTTATCACCCTTAAATATGTATATAAATCAAAATAATGATTACTTGTGCATGATGTATTAGGAACCATATGCGTAGAGAAAGATTTGCAAGTAATGTCAGGGCCGTCGTCCTAGAAGACCATGAGTCAATGTTGTAGTGTCGCGGTCGACTGTAATTGTATCGTGTATATGCCGAGCCAGTACTCGCCTAATGCGTAATAAATACTAGCTCCATAATAATCTGTGCCGCATTCTACTGCTTCCAAAATAAACTACAGTCAGTCTAACACACCCGCTATGTGACAGACTGAGTGTGTTTATGTAAAATGAAGTAGTACATCCGAAAATAGTAGTTTTTGGAAACCATCTAAAACGTATTTTTTTTATATCTAACAAGATTCCCTAAAAATTAAATAAAGCGTGCGATTTTTGATCCCGAAGTTGGCGTTAATAATTAATCTATTTGTTAACAACGGCGTTTTATACCAATTGATCCGTGCGTCTAAGGTGAAGCGAAAACATCGTGAGGAAACCGAAGTTTCTCATTCTCAAAAATCATGTATAGCACGAAAATAATCACCCTCTTGGCTTAAAATTATCAATAAAACAGATGCTGAAAAGACTTTGTGTGTGCAAACTGTTTTATCAGGGCCGAGAAATAATCTTGTGTACTTAAATATGTCTTAAGCAAAGGGAAGAAGCCCTGTGAAAGGGTTAAGGTGTCTTAAGATGTACTCGTATACCCTTACATTTATTATCTCATGTAAATTGGTCTTACGAACATTCATGAATTTAATGAGTAGATAATGTAGTGAATACGACATGTATATATATTTATGCGAGTGATATCCGAGTACGTATTTACTTTTATTTATAATTTTTATGTAAATTCTGTCAATAAATATTGGTGTCATGCTAGCCGCTACTTGTTTAAATTTAAAGTTTAATGTTTAAACTTTAGAAACGTGATTGCAGAGTTTTCATTACATAATACGCAGGAGGTGAAATATCAAGGTTTGTATAGCATTGTCATAAATGGTTTTGACTTAAAATTTACGATTTCATTAACTATCTATTCTTAAACAAAAGACACGATTTCTTCTCCAAAATCACTATTTTCTTCATTGAAAACGTTTGGTCTGATGAAACTGTAAATATTTTAACCAATTTAAAAACTATTATGTAACATTGGACCATGGCACGAATTTGAAGTTCATTGGTGATATTGTGATAGCAATTTTAAGCAAAAGTGTGATACATGAATAATTATGCATTTATCAGTTCTTAAGAAAGAATATAAAACTAAAAGGTTTCATGGAGTTAATATATTGTGTTTTGCACCACACAGACACCAATAGTTCTTGTTTCATTGTTATATGAATTTATAAAATTTACGTTTTATGCAATATGTTGTTAAATAATGTAGAGATTTGTGAAACATAAAATAAAAATGAAATATTTATGAAATGAATATGTATTGATGAATCTATGATTTTCTCTTAAAACATGTCTTTTGTGTGTCATAAACATATGACATCTGTCATTATAGTTATTAAATTTCGTTTGATTGACAGTTCAAAAGTCAGACAAACAAGCAAACATTTTTCTAAAATGACTCCAAAATTAAATATATTCGTTGTAGAAAATAATGGTTATAAGTGAAATACGCGCTACGTTTTGGCATCCATTAATTGTCATTTTTTAACACTGAAGGTTTGATATCCTATTCCTATTTTTTATATTTGAACAAAATAGATACTATACGATGTTATTGTTCAATGATTTTTACACGTCCCAACCTTTTCTTGGTATAACTTAACAAGGATATTTTGATATCAATAGAGGAACATTAACTCTTTCTGCTCTAGCAGACGTTACTGTTACTAACGACGTCACATTTACAGTATTATACTACTGTTCTACTGTACTTCATCGAGGCACTCTCTACAATGATTATACTAATTATTATCCAAACTAGTAGTACACTACTCACAATGAAATTAGTCATCTCTGTCACCAAGATAAATTATAACAGTGTAAACATTTTTTTTAAAAGTTCTTATAAGCAGATAATCTCCGAGATGGGATTGTGTACAGTTGAGTGTAGAGACGTAGGCGAACTTTGGGGAGGTATGTCTGATAACACCGAAGTATTGCAGACTTAGTCGCTGGGCTGCTATTAATTGTTTTAAAGCTATTAATTATAAAAAAGTGCGTGCGTACAAAGTACACATGTCAGAAGTGAAACTTCTTTGGTAAACAAATTTTTAACTCTCGTTCATATTTATACAAATCTAAAACTTTAGATTTCAGACTTAGAGGGAGGGAAAAAGGAAGATATGTTAGGAATGTATTGAATTTAATCGTCATTAAAATATTAAGTGTCGAAAATTAATACAAATAATATATTTTATTTTATTTATTTCTTCGATAATATAAACACGTGGCATTTTAATTTACAATTCGTCATTTGAGATTTCAACAAATTATTTTGCATAAAATATAAAATACTAATATTTCATAAATTCTCTACGAAATTTTAATTTTAAACATAGCATTTCTATAATGTAATTCGCCCTTCTCACTCTCTCTTAATCGGTCAATCACTATCTCCCTTTTCTTCGACAAAAACGCTGCACATCTTCGTGACGTTTTTTGACTCCAAAAATGAAGAAGAACAATAACTCGATATGTACAGAAAAATCTTTCACAGAAATAATCTAGATTGGACTAGTACTGTGAATCATTGTTATCACGGAAAACATTCAAGTAATTAGCTTAACTTCCCTTCCATGACGTAGGCATTTAATAAATGCATAAACCATATACAGTAATATGAAACGTTAGATGTTTATTTATTAGGTAAGGTTAGGTTTTATAATAACAACAATATCGCCTTCTTCGTGAGTTGTAATATTCCACTCATTTTAAAGTAGTTATTATTTTAATTGAGGTAAACAAATCACATTGCATCGGCCGTTATTTCAAATACATGAAACTTATTCTTAAACTTATGTTAAATTGTTTTAGTTATCGTCTAATAATGGAACGTAATGAAGAAGAATAGTGTGTAAATCCAGATCCAATGTCGCTCCTATGATGATGAAAAAAATGAACCTGTTTCTTTGCGTTTAGCAACTGTTTATTTTTACATAGAAATTCCGTAGAGTATAACTCCCGAATGTAATAAAATGTAAGGTTGAAATTTCGTGTGGGAATTCAAATTTATAATGAATCATCAACTTATATTTTATATTTTTTTAGCAGCAACCTTCAACTCGCAAAGAAACCGGAAATAATAAAAAATAATAAGCTAATATTTTTGAACGATGTGGTATTTTTTTTTCAACTGCTTCTGTTGTTATTTGCCGTGACTTTTTTGGTATTTTAAAACTAAACAGACTGTCAAGTTGATACTATCAACTTGTTTATAAAAGCACATATAATGTTGTAAAAACAACTTGAATTCTTGCCTGGATGCATACCTTTTACAATTTTCATACAAATTATCACTCAAATTCTAAAGTTAAATTATGAAAGTTTAATAATAATTTGTTGATAAAACTTTTTCTTCGCGTGTGCTTGACCCCATTCTACGGGCATGAAGTAATAACAAGTTAAGCTGTGAGGTATTTTTGCACTTTGTATCAATATTTTATAACTATTAAATAAAATTACAACCAAAATATGGGTTACGTAATAATAGTACATATAATAAAAGTAATGTCTTAATTTTCGGCAACTCTAATAAAATACTGTCATAAATCTTGCCTTCATTTCCATCTAATTTACCCTGACATGGATTATAATACTGTTATCAAAACAATTTTTTTTAAAAGACATCAATTAATACTCCTTTATTTCTATATTAGGTAAACAGACAGATCACTATAGTACAAACGGAAAAAAATTCAATAAATTTATTTCTTCAGCACAAAAATATCAAATATATTATATCGATGATAATTCCTCGTTTAATATCTGATTTAAAATTTACCTAAAAGTGGTTCTATTTGTTACAGATAAAATGGACATAATAAACCGAATAGTCGCCGGTTATCATGACCTCATGGACAACAAAAGTGACCAGAGAGTGAAAGATTGGTTCCTAATGTCTTCACCTTTCCCCACATTATGCATCTGTCTCACATATGTTTTCGTAGTAAAGGTAACGACAATTTCACATAATTAAGGTCAACAATATTATTTTAATAAGAAAACGCGAACTTTTAAAACAAAAGAATCCTAACACTATATTTATAATAAGTCTTTGTAATATTAGTGTTAATTAATTTACATTTTGAAGTTTAAAAAAACATATTACGAGAGTGGTTTAACAGGTTTGGCATTCCAATGGCGATGTTAATGTAATTTTATAAGATAGCGAGCCGGTAAAAGCTTCATATATTTCAAGGGCGCTTTTGCAGGTTGTGTCTATATGTTAATATTCTTGAGTCTTACGAAAAACAGTTTTAAACGTGATTTCTTTTTGTCTCGTTGTAAAAACGATATTTAGAAGAATTTGAACTATATTTTATTGAGACTAAGTAAGAGTAAGTGTAAATGTAATGTATCTGATCCGTTCAAGGGACGGGATATTCAACATAATAAAAAAATCATTGAAACAAAAGCAAAATATGTGGATATTTATTTTCTATTCTTACATTAACTTAATACTAATACAATAGAAAAATTATTAATATAAAAATTAAACTAAGAACATAATATAAACAAAACAAAAAACATAAAATGTAAAGCTTTTTATAACAAATTATAAATAATGCAATTCTTGTGAATTCAGCCTGTGTGCCCTTAAATATATCCGTCTAATATGCAATAATATTAAGGGTGCGCAAGACACGCGTGAATGGTGCTTTCCTAGGTAAACTTTGTCCGCGCTCGCGGCACTTCAAGCAATTGCGACCGATAACTACGCCGAGTGTGATTATTTGACACACGTAGCTTGTCTCTCCAACATTTCCACGTTATATATTCTACCTTACCTTAAAAAATATAATGTGATATTAAGAATATTTCCCTCCTTACCTCTAGTTGTATCCTACCATATCCAAGACAAACAAAGTTGGATATGTATTTTGAATTGATATCTTTATTTAGCAAATGGTGTAAAAAAAAAGATGTTTTCTTTAAATTTTTGTTTATGAGGTGCGCGTTAAAGTCTTTTATAGTATGTACACATACAAGGGGCGTTAAAAAAAATATGTGTTTCAATACATACTTATGTTTCATAAATTATTATTTTTTTGCAGGTAATAGGTCCACAATTTATGAAAAACCGGAAGCCCTTCGACCTAACACGCGTGTTGATTTGGTACAACCTATTTCAAGTAGTCTTCAGCGCATGGCTGTTTTACGAAGTAAGTGAATTATATTTAGATATCTAAAAAACCTTGATATTACTTATACTGGAAAATAACAAAAAATAAATCAGGGACTTTAATTGTATAAAGGAAGTTTTAACTTTGCTTTTATTTGGCTTATTTATATTCTGTTTGTTTAATAACTTGTCTTAATAACAAATAAAACGTCTTTTTAAATGTAAAGTATTAAAACGTGTATTATTTTCATGTTCTTATCAACAATTATTAAGCCAAGTACATGCTAAAAAATAGGTTTGGATGACGGTAATTTATACGCTTTTCGTTATGGTCATAAAGTTGATGATCATCATCATTTTTATTTATTTAAATAAAAATAAAGAATTTTATAAAACCTTGTGTAATATATAATAAGGGACAATAATTACCATAATGGTATAGATTGTTAAAGATTACCTATGTATGTGACGCGCACTCGTTCTATCTTCATTTACATTTTTTACTCGTACAAAAGGAATTTTTGCATAAATCATGATTCATTACTCGCTTAATTATGTCGCTATCCCGAAGAAAATATAGTTGGAAGATAAATAGATTATTTTATTTACAATTTATAGTAATATAAAAACAATCATAGATTCCACACCCATGCTAAGCACATTAACAGCCAAATTTTAATAATTTATTCAAAAATCAAAATCATTTATTCATATAGGTACACAATGTACACTTAAGAACGATAAAAAAGAAATATGTATGAAATGCTTCTTATTTTACATTAACTGCCAGTTCACATATCAAGGGCGTAGAACGGTAGAGAAGAACGGGCAATAAACTCTCCACCACTCTTTTTAATCGCCAAGTTTTTTGTTTTACACAATGTTTGTAAGTAGCTGCAACAACACAACATGACTAAGAAGTAATAAATAATAATAAAATAAATTAAAAACAAAGATTTGTCCTCTATCAGAAGGAGGCATGGTGAAATAGGAGCACGCACTTACATTCTCGTGGGAACAACAAGCATTATATAAGATACATAAAATTTAGTTCGTTGTTTTTAATGACTTTCTCTACTTCCATTTTGGGATCATCAGTTAAGATGTTTATGCCTTGTCTGCCTTGCCTTGTATGTTTGAGTCTCGATAATCTTCTTATCTTCTTTCAGAGTGTGCTCAGTGGATGGTTCTGGTCTCATAGTTTTAGATGCCAACCCGTAGACTACTCTAGAACTCCACATGCTATGAGAGTGAGTAATTTTTAAATACAATAATAATATAATTTATACGATGGATTGCGAGGGAGTTAAACTTTATATTTTTAATATAATCGACGACTACATCATTCTTATATATGTGATATATATAAAACCATAAACACGTATGATATTCTAATGCATGAGGTATTACTAAAACCTTTACTCTATATAATAATTCAAATGTAAATTACTTGTTGTGGGTCATTTGTATACTAATTGCTATTATATTCTCGCTCACCTTCAACACTGCATGTCGCAACAGTAGTTCAGTAAACTTTTTCTTCTAGTAGTCCAGCAGTTTTTTTTTAGAAAAAGGGACAGATGAACATGTATCTGTGCTTTTTAAAACGTTCTCCTTTATTTTTGAAATATTATATGTGTATATATATATATATATATAACCAGAACCTTTAAGCAATTAGATTGAATAAACCAGTTGGTGATAATTACACAAGGAAGTAATGATTATAAGTATGTAGAAATCTAAAATAATCGTATGATTTAAATATAAATTTTTAAAATTTATTTTTCAGTTTAAGATAATAATTTAAATCAATAAGGAAGTATTAGAATAACAACTTTATATGAATTAAAGCCCTACTGGATGTCCTTAGAATATTGTAATTTAATACAGAATATATAATCATTGTTGTCACTATAATTTTTACGCCATGAAGTTAGGACAAAGTTATAATTATTATATTTGAATGACAAGCATAAGCTAAACAACTAGACATTTAAATATATATATATATATATAAATACCTATACACCATAGTTTTGTGCGTAACTTTTTGGGACTCCAAAAAGATTAAAGGTTAACATTTTCCCTTTGTTTGTCCCAAATAAATAAAAAAAAATTACTTGCTGCGCTGGCGCAGCGACCCAAAGTGAGTCTTGGCTACCGAAATAAGAGAACGCCGCTATCGCTTGCCCATCGGGCACTTGGCGTAAAAAACTACTTAAACTATATTTTATTTTACAGACAGTAGCTGGTTGTTGGTGGTATTACTTCTCAAAGTTTACAGAATTCTTCGACACGGTAAGGGAAACTAATTTTATGATGACAAAATAGGACGCAATCCGCAAATTAACAGATACATATAATTACGATAAAAAGGATATACATATAGTGCAATTTATGTAAATTTATATAATTATACGAAACGAAACTTTAATAGTGGCTATTCTTAACCGGATTTTCCGCTTAAAAAACCGGCATTCCCGACATCTTCGGGAAAATTCTAAATTCTAATCTACTGCGATACGATACGGTAGCAGTTATGCTACGTATAACCACAAATTGATCATAATGGTCTCCTAAACCTCTGTGTATATTATAACAATAAATTATTCAATAACATTTTATATAATAAGTTTTTAATTTTCAGTTCTTCTTCATATTACGGAAGAAGTTTGATCATGTATCGAAGTTGCACGTCATTCATCACGGCATCATGCCTATGTCTGTCTGGTTTGGAGTCAAGTTCACGCCTGGTAAGTGAATTTACAAGTTTTTATTTTAATCCTATATTAGAGTCTCAAAAATAATGTTTGAATTGAAGATATTCGTTGCCTAGTTATAAACATTATAATTTAAGCCATTAAGTAGTTTGTTGCACACAAGTCAGAATGGGAAAATAAAACAATGGTAAAAATTACTTAATTTTATAATTTACGGAGATGTTGAGAATTATCTGATAATGACGCATATTTTTTTTACTACTAATTTTTTATTGCTACAACTCAAGTATGACTGATTATATAGTTAAAATATTTCTGTCTAGAAAGATAAGATATATTGAAGTGGACTTAAAATAAGTATGCTATTTATAGTTAATAATGCTTGTATTTCGCTGTTCACGTTAATTACGTTTGTTAGGCCTCTTTATTCTATTTAAAATTTGATGTATTAATATATATTTTTATTGAAGTGAAAACTTCTTTAGCGGCGTTTTATATTATCTACACATTTGTATATTGCAATGTATAATTTTATTAAATATATCAAGGAATAAATCTATAAACGTCAAATCATATTTAATAATTAGAACGAAGGCCTTGATAGTAGAAGCCTCTCTTTCATAACACAGTCATAGAATTTGTCTATCTTTCTCGACATTTTAGGAATAATAGCTACATTTATAAAAAAGTCACAGTTCAACAAGTACACTATACAAAAAGTGCTGATATCAACACTTCACTTCATGAGTGGTTTTATTTCATAGAGCCTTATACAGAATGAAGGTTACCATTATTAAGAATACATCTTTAAACATCGTCGACAGCCTTAAAATACCTAATCCTCAACAAGAAAAAAATAAAGTAATAAGTATAAAAATATTTATAGTTTAAATGGCATTTTAAGATAAACTCAAGGAGGCCCAGATGAAAAGGGTTAATACTTTACGGGTTAATGATAAATTTGAAATTCAGTCAAGACCACACCTTGGGAGGCTATTTAGGTATTGATTGTTTTAATCATATCCGCGTGGATCTTTCATTAAGTGAAATAGAATTACACTATCATGTAAAATAAAACTATCAAAGTCCACACAGGATTGAGATGTGAGATTGCACAATTTACAGACTATCGCGAACACCTGACACACATCGTCGATGTTATCTCACGTTTGCTTTAATCGTATAGACATGAGTTTGTTAGACATACTAGTGTACAGCTAGTGTTTGAACCCACGAACTAAGGTTTGCGAGTTTCACGCTTTATCATATACATAAGTTTTTGCCTTTTCTTATTATTATATAACACGGCAGTAAGGATATGCACATTATTTATTTTTATCGAACACACATTATTTGTAAAATACATATTTACTCTTTGGTTTATATTTACTAATCAAACTTATAATATTTGATCAACAATTGTGACAGAGAGATTATTTAACTTAACAATTTTCTACATTCATTGATCGAAACATCAACTAAGGTATACAGGGACCAAGCTTTTTATATTTATTTTAGTTTTTTTATGTATAAATTTAAATGTTTTATTATTATTACTGGGTAGGTTAAGAATATTGTATAATTATAGCCCTTTATATTTGATATAAGATTTTAGGACTGAAATTAAAATAATAGGCTCAGAAAAGGACCATAACTTGAATAGCATTATAACTTATTTGCAATATTTATAATTAAGATTTAAACGCACAATATGTTCTCTGTATCTATGTTTGTAAAAAAATATATTGTATAAAAAAAGTTAATAATCGTTTTATAAAACTCTAACAAAATAAATTTAAACCTAATAAGTGGCCAAGATGCCGTCACGATGAATTTAAATATAATAAAAAAACCTACTTATCTAATATTTGTACAGCAGCACAGTGCTAATTTATCAGTTTTTTCAAGTTTTTTTTATTGTAATTAGTAATTTTCTGTATTTCCATTTACGCATTACTGTTTTTATATAATCGATAACAACCTTGATCAGACATATACTTTCGAGTTATTATAAATAATAATCACAATATTATACATTGCAATTATTTACACGATCTTATCATGGAAAATACCATAATTAGATGTACAATCTGCAAAAATCACTCAAGCAAAAGTGATTTAGGAAGTCGGTGGAAGAATTGTAATTTAATTCGTACTTGTAACACTTGTTAATAGAAGTTATATGCGTTATAAATAAACGATGTCAATGTTAATCAAATTTTTTATATTTAATACAACTTGAATACACGTGGTTAATATTTAATGCCTTCTTAGGCTTTTTTGGCTTTTTATTAGTACATATCAGTGAAGTTGCAACATAATACACACAATGTATTTATGTAAAGAGAGAATTTAACAAGGACATTGCAAAAGCACTTAAAAAAAGTATTCTGGAGTTATATTTCAATTAAAATACCAATTGTTTTCTTAATAAAGGCAGGTACGGCTTGTTCTAGTTTAATTACAGTGTTGTTTTTTTTTTCTATATGAATGTGGAAATTTATTAGATGTCTGTAAGATAGATATTTACTTAATAATGTTTTATTTACAGGCGGTCACTCGACGTTCTTCGGAATGCTGAACACGTTTGTACATATCGTTATGTACTCATACTACCTCCTGGCAGCCCTAGGTCCTAAGGTTCAGAAGTACCTCTGGTGGAAAAAGTACATCACAGTAATACAAATGGTAACTATCAGCATAGGATTTTTCGACGTGAAATTACTTGTGGTCAATGCTATATATATTATAATTGTCAGATATAATTGGTTATTTCACCGCAAGTTAGAATATTAACAATGCATACATTAGGTTTAAAAAGCTTGAAAATCCTATTTAGGAATAAGTGATCGTTGGATTTGTTGCATAATTATCATTTATTTAGTACATAATTACTTCGGAGACTATAGAGTGATTGACGTAATTTTTGCGTAAGATTTAGTGCTCACATTGGTAATGGAAAACCTATTAAAAATTAAAAAATTTGATAAACAGATTCAGTTCGTGCTGGTGTTCTTACATGCCTTCCAACTTCTCTTTATCGACTGCGACTACCCCCGAGCCTTCGTCTGGTGGATCGGAATGCACGCTGTCCTCTTCTACTATCTATTCTCTGATTTCTATAAACAGGCTTATCTTAAGAAAGCCAAGGTAAGTTTCTGACTCGGAAATGATTTCCTAATTTAGTTTTGAATAATGTATGAGTTTAAAACGGTTTTCTTGAAATTTTCTGGATCATGCACCAGTTAAGGCTCTTTGTCTCAATAGAGGTGCATTATTTAAAGCTGAATTAAGTATATATATTGAAATTAAAAACATATTTGTATTGTAAATCAATGTGCTTGTTGCAGAGGGCAAAAGCTGCAGAAAACTTAATAGCGGAAGATAAGGCAGACTCAAAAGACAGAGTTTTGCCTCTCCTCAATGGCTTCAGCAATGGATCCACGCTGGGTGACGTACGGCAAAGAGTGGCAGGCGCTGTTGCATCACAATAGATGTTATTTGTTAATAAAATACCACCTACCTTATTCGGGGAAACACTTGCAATCTCAAATAAGGAAAGCTCAATTAGTTAAGGGATAGTTTACTTTGCCTCAGATGTTAGACGACGATCGACGATGAAAATATTAAAAGAATGTGGAACAAAGCTTTCGATGCGACTATTAGGCCAGTAAATCAAAACCTATCTCAAATTGAGATAAAATAGTTGTCAGGGACAAAACTACTTATAAATGTAAGTTATGGTATAAGGGCCTCAAGGCGGCTCCCTCTAATCGGCTGTTAGCTTTTTTAAAGAATGTTCAATGGTTTTAATGAAACTATGTATGTTTTATCAATAGGAAAGATACAAGGCGTTTTAATAGTTACTAGATATAGCCAAAAAATTATACTGTCTTTGGTTTACGTAAGTAAATTAAAAATCTTGATCTGAAAAATTTTCTTCAACGAATGTAAACGTGAATTTATTCATCCTGTGGGAGCACCACAATAGCTGATAAGATTCATTGCTAAGTGTTAAGAAGTTTTACATAATTATCATAAAATGAATAATTTTTCCATCTGATTTTCGTATTATTATTTGAACCTTATTGTGAAATTTCTGGAAATTATCTAAGAATGAGGATATTGTTCAAGGATATTGAAATGACTAAATACTTATATAATAATTATCATTATTCTCACAAATGCAGATTTTTCCTTTAAGTTTCTTTGTTTAGAGAAGGAAGAAGCGGTTGCATAGATCTTTCGTTATTCATCAGCTATTAAAACTGTTTACTGTTCATTTGGATAAAATTTCTAGAAACCTTTAAGGTGTGAGAGAATCTCAGGTGTCATAATGTAATGATTGCATTTGGTGTAAATATTTATATATAGTAAAAGCCTCTTTTTGAAAAATGTTTTCCTATTACATATTAATGACAATATCAGACTCAGAAAAAAGTAATTATTGCTAAAGTGACTTTTGGCTAAAAAGTTTATACGTTAATGTAAAAAATACATAGGTATTAAAGTAAGTTGTTTTATAAACTCTTAAAACGTGAATCAAAGTCCAACCGAAACTGACAATTTATGGTTGCACAATTTAATTTATATTTCAGTCAAATAAAAATAGTGTAGAGCATATTTGATCAAGGAGGCATTTCAATTGTAGTTACGTAAGTAGAATTAGTTATTGGTTATAGGTTTTGTCAAAAATATGGTTTGATAAGAAATGTAACAAGATTTGACAAAAAATATAACTCGATAAATGTACAACTTTGTGATACCTATTTAATTAAAATAATTATTACAACACATGTGGTACTTTTATTAAGTCTTTAATTTTCAAATTAGCGAAAACCAAAATGAAGAGCACTTATACACCGAATTGTTTATATTTTCATCTGATCTAAGGGTCAGTCTTAGGAGTTCTTAGCCTGGCGTCCGTGTCCATTGACGATAACAATAGGTACTTGATAGGCAAAATGAAAAAGATATCAACATAAATATCACTAATAGTGTGTCAAATGAGTATTTTTATTTACTTACTTATCAGGAAAGAGAAGATATGAATTATCTTCCTAAACACTTGCTTGTGTACTAAATAAATATTACATATAAATATAATATGAATAGTATTACTTTTGCTGCTCACAAGCGACATCTTTCACAAAACATCGTATCGTTATTTCTTTACCCTACTCTACTTAAGATGGCAGTAATATTAAAATGACTAAATCCAGTAGGTTAGCTTCTCGATACAAGATGTCGCTTTTACAATATTTTATTTAAAGAAAGGTAATAATTATAAGCGACGACGTGTAGTTTGAAAATTTAATGTCAGGGGCAAAATCTATTCTGGTTTTGAAAAAACTTTGATGGGAATATGACTTTATTCAACATTAATAAAAAATGATGAGCGTAGTTATTTTCATGCCCCGGAATTTTATTTAATGAATTAACCTTTTCTATTGTTTATTACTACGTGGTTCATGAATAAACTAATATTCCTTAACCAAAGTAATGATAGGATTTTTTGAGAGCTTTTACAAATGCATATTAATGATTTTTTTAGTAGAAATGAATATTTGTGACAGTAGTAGAAAATCAGATTTTTTTTTGTCTTATTAATTGGTTACAATCGTAAAGAAGGTAGATATTTTTTATATTAATTCTTTTTTATAAAAGTTCCTTTCGGTACTAGGTTTCGGTTTCTTTAGTGAATATTAAAAATTATTTGTTTTTGGAGCCTAAGCCTTTTTGGAGATAAATTAACTGTTCCCAATTTCTCACGTACTTAGTTAACAAAAGAAACAATAAGCATTGTCTTAATAACTTTATTTACACTAGATAATATAATACTTAACACTTTACAATACTTCTTAAGCTTATTTCACATTGTACTCAGAAATTATCGCTTTTTACTACGAGTATTGAATCTGGAATTCAAAACAGATTAAAACAGAATAAATCGAATGCACTAATATCTAATTAAGCACATATTATATCACATAATAATTTAGTAAAGTAGTATTCAGGATAAGCCTCTAGATATAAACTGGCATCTTTCAGTCTATTAGAAAAAAAATACATGAACATTATTTACAGAAAATGTTTGAAATTGCATCCTATCTTTGTTAAATAAACTTACACGAGTAACTTAGGCTTAATGGCAGTGAAGGATTATTATACTCTAGCGTTAGTTCTTCCGAATTCCTCTATTTGATCATATTCAGAGAAGCCGGGATCAGAGTCGTAATATGCGTAGTCGTAGCTGGATTCTTCTTTGTTGGGACGGTTATTGTGTGAAGGTCGTGGTCTTGGAGATGAAGAAGGAATATTTTCATAGCCTTGCGAATAAAGCTCTTGCTTATGGGGAGCTATAGTGGTCGTAATCTTTGGAACATTATTGACTTGTGGTGAACTGTAGGCTGGCGCCGATGATGCATCGTATGGTCTAGATGTTGTGGTATAAGGCTGATAGTAGTCAAAAGAACGGAGCGTCGTTTGTTCGGAATAATGTCGAGGGGTACTCGTGAATAGTTCTGTAGGATGGTGTTGAGCGGTTGTTGTTGATGCTAGTCTAAATGGTCTTGGAGTAGATACTTTCCCAAAGTTCTTTTGAGATCGTATTTTTTCTTGTTTTCGATCTTCTGGAAGCCTGTTACCACTTGCCGCAATGTTAAGCGAATGTGCTCCTGATAGTAGTTCTGTTTCTCTCTCGTACAGTTCGGGTCTGTATTGCCCGTCATCTTCACCATGAGGAAGCCGGTACTGGCCATCGTCTTCATGGCTGTCTGCGTAATTGAATGACTGTGTATTTAAAGCATTGTTTGTATTATACGCAACTGTGTTCAGATTGGAATAGGGATCAGAACGGGTGGTTGTAAACAAACTGGTAGTAGAGGGGGCGGCAGTGGGGTTATTAAAGTAGTTCTGTTTGCCACCCGGGAAGGATACAAAGTTATTTTTCTCAGGTTCGTAGGAAACACTGTTGAAGTTCCTGTAGCTTGGAGTACTAGTTATGACTCCTCTGGCTGAGTTGTAGTCAACGGTCGTTGTAGGATAATTAGTTGAATATCCAGGTGTGCCTCTGTTGTAGTTTTGATTATAAGGTTTTATTTTCGTAAAGTCCGTAGGCTTGGCTTCTGAAAGTACATTGAAACTGTTTCGAAGCTTGATAGAGCGATTATCATGGAAACTATTCGAATTCTTATCATTGTAATTGTAAAGTTCAACTAATCCTTCTTTCTTGTTCGCAGGGGCTTGAGTTGATGTCGTGGGTTCATTGTATGGAAAGTATTTGCTCTGTTTTGGGGTCACACGGCTAACTTCCACGTATTCATCTTTATATTCGGGTGGAATATTCACAGTTGTGGTAGTCGGCTGTTTGTTCTGCGGCGGATTTTTTTGAATGAAGTAATCTTGTGGCGAGTTTGTTTGTTGAGATGAATAATAGCTTTGTGCTGTTGTAGACGGTGCTGCGGTTGAAATGTTAACAGGTCGTTTACGGTATAGTTTTCTTTTTGGACCATCGTACTGTTGACTGGAAGGTTGTGGTGAAGGTGAAGGTGACGCTGTCGTGAATAGTGTAGTTGGGTATGAAGGTCGTGATGTGGGTATTCTTCTAAAAGATTGACGACCTGGAGGAATGGACGAAGGTTGCGCTTGTAGGGTAACAGACTCTTCTCGCCCTTGTTCTCGCTGTCCACTGAAGAAATCAGATGAATGGGCTGTTCGCAAATCAGATACACCGTTATTAGATGCCGCATTATTTTGCGAGAGCCGACGATCACCAGTTTCCGCCCTTTGAAGGCCGAATTCAGATTCTTCTTCTCGATTTCCAGGAGACGACAATTTTTTCGTGTCAAAACCTGTGTATGATACATATAAGAATTGGTTTAGTTTACTCAGCTACCATTACCATTTCAAAGATACATCTTAGATACAATAGAGCTTTTCCAGCCGCCAGCACTCAGCTAAAGCTTAATATAAACTACATAAATTCTATATGGGCGATGGTAAAAAAAGCGCGACACAAAATACCTTTAACTCGAACTTTCCGGCTGCAAAAATGTTTTAGTCTAGACTATGGCCTATGTTAGTGGCTAAGCAAGCTCACCGGATCCGATTTTGTAGAGATCAAACTGACCGTCGTAGATGTCTGCGGGACAGGCCAGAGGGTCATCGTCACCCCAATCAGTGCATGTTTGGGCCTCTTGATGGAACAGGGTACCAGGGGGGCAGAAGAACCTGAAGTCTCGAATGCCGCCACCGGCAACTCTAACACACACGTGGAAAGCCTTACAGCCGGATTTCGCATCCGCATAGTATGCTCCCAAGATGCGTCCTCGGCAGTTAAACCTTTGAGCGCCCCCTGCGGAGATGAAGGGTTATTAAAAGCCTAATTTGAACAGATTGGAACACGGACTTCATCTATTTCTGTGTTTCTATTCAGTGTGCGAATCTACAATAGAGAGAAACCATGTTGAATCACACATTTAGGTACCAATATTCAATAGTTTTTTTTAAATAGCCTTCCCTTCGTATCCCAATAATTGTTGTGGAAAATGTATCTGCAATATTATTCAAATCTTCTAATATATAAAATTCTCGTGTCACAATGTTCGTTTCCATACTCCTCCAAAACGGCTCAACCGATTCGAATGAATTTTTTATGCTTATTCAGTAAGTCTGAGAATCGGACATCTATTTTTCATCCCCCAAAATGTTAAGCCACCCCTAAATTTTTATTTTATATAGACAAAACTTTTTGTTTTTATTTTTGTATGATACAGCATACAAAAATACATACAATCCTTAATTGTCACCCCTCTACGATCAATCCCTATTTTTTATTATAGTAGATAGTTATTTTTATTGAACTAAAAAAATGTTTCCTAGAAATATTATACAGTGCAAAACGACGTTTGCCGGGTCAGCTAGTAATGCTATAAATAAAATACAAAGTATCCATCAAACGAGGTATTAACGGCACCCATCTCTTAAATTGAGGGCGGTTACGAGATCAGAATTAAGTTTATTTACCCAACAGTACGTATATAGATTGTATCTACTAGAATTTTATATGATACTCGTAGGCTGTAAAGTAGGCGTAGTATGTATAAGAATATATAGGAGAAGACGTTAGTTTACAAAATTTTGTTTTCAAGGTTCATAGGTAATAACATAAAAAAAAGGGTGCGTGTACTTATGTACGCGCGTAAGAAGTTATACTTCTTTGGCATTATTAAAAATAGTTTTTGATTGCATGCAAATAATTAATTACAATTAAATAATCAAAGACTGGAAAAGGAGTCATTATAGTCAATTAAGTTCAGTTTACATTTGAAAAATTAAATAAATAATTATTTATTATCTCTTACATTAAGTGTAACATAAATTCTATTTAGTTAAAAGTATATATAATTATATATTTAGAACATCTCTACCAAACACTAAGAAGTATGTTGTAGCTTTGGCAGTATTGCACAATATAAAATTAATAAATTTCTTTGAAAAATTAATCAAAACTCCTTTATTTGTTTAAAAGGTAAATGACAAATGTCATTATGGTCATTCAAAATTCTTGGCATACGAACTTCACGCATATTCTATTTCTTTTTACTTGTAGATTGTCTTATTCCTATCTCGCTCGCGCACGCTATAATCACACTCCCAATTTTGTGTCACAGGTGCGCGCGCATCGTAAAATTTCACTCTCATAAATTTTTCATAACGCGCCTAAAGAAGTATAACTTCAAAAAACACGATCTTCCTATGGGCAGATTTTTGTTTTCAACACAAAAGTGTATTCTGTATAAAAACATATGGATTTCACCGAATAACGATAATAGTCTAGTATATTTAGGTAAGCGGTTTTGCTAGTGAATGTTGGTACCACGGAGGTTAAACTGAGTTCCCATGCGTGAGAGGCCAGCGGCAGATAGCATCGCGTTGCGCAAGAGACGCCGCAAAGGTGCCGCATCCTCAAAAGGTCGTGAGCTTATGCAAATGTTCTAAATATAACACAATTACGCTACGGTTGAATCAATTGATTAATGAATATGCTGCGACCGCTCGGAAGATAATGACTAAAATAGTTAATTTATTGTTATAACGCAATATGTAAAAGTGAAGAAGTCAATATAGAAAAAATTATGAAAACTATGTTACGATCATATTTTGTGTTCCTCTACACTATTATTTGTTATCAGAATAAACCCTTATAATGCAATTCCTACATTTGAGCAACTATGAAGTTGTGATGAGTCAGCAAATAGCAATCAATCACTGTCAGCTGTCGATACAAAAGCCGAGAAGAGTCGAGACAACGGGTCGTCAATGACACTTTCCTTTACACGTAATGCATTCTCACGGTTTAACTACATTATTTGTAACATCTTCGATATTTGTTGTAATAGTGCCATTTTAGAAAATATATTTTACGTTAAAAGGAGCGTAGTCTCGACATCTACTAAACATGTGATATATTTATTGTTGTAAATATGTATATACCGTGTTATAAATACACAATAGGATTATATTTATAGTTTCAAGACTTTTTAATGTAAAATTCTGTGTAATAAGCCCACGTTTTAGTTAATTAAATCTTTCATTCCGATGTTAATCAATAAATGCCATCCTACACTTACGTTAATGATCACCTGAATCAATATATATTGGAATTATTTATAAAATGTAAAATATACCTGCTAGAAATTATTGCTATTTTAATTGAAGAGTTAAATATGTTTTCATTTACAAATGTTTCTTAAAACATTATCTAGACTAATCAGTTCCTACAATAGTTTCCTGGTTCCGGTGCAAATTTAAAAAATTGTTTAGACAATATGTATATGTTGTACCCAAGGATTTTTAATAATTTCAGCTAATTAAGTAAAATATATAAATAGGTTGTAAAACTTTTGTCTTTAAATATTTTTATTTACGCGAAAATTTCCTTGAGTCAAGGCAATATTAATCATCCACAATTCGTATCCTGTTCTTAACATAAAATATGAACATAAGGCACGTCACGTTACATCTAAAAAATAAACCCACAATCAATTAAGATCGTCAGATTTGAACCTAAATGGTAATAGTATCATCATCCAAAGAAGGATTTGGGGTCATCCCACGTATGGCGAACACGTTTTCGTATTTCGATGAAATTTAGAATTGCCAATTACAAAATAACAAGTACGTTTCGGTCTGAACCTTGGAGCATCCGTTCTCTGGCCCTCGTCCCAGTTCAGGAGAGCGGCCCGTGAGAGAATTACTTATGCAAATGTGTAGAATCGATTATCCACGCGAAGTGCGATCTCAGTTGAGCGATCATATGAAAGTACAATTGCGCAATTTTCAATAAAGACGTTCGTGTGAACCATCGACCTTACCTAAATGCTAGTAACATTATTCTAGCAATGAACGTTTCATTCCTTCCCACTTCCTTTAACAAGATTTTCCTAAATTCAATTAAATTTTTTAAAACGTAATATTATTTTAGTAAGTTCTGCTAATTTCCGTAATAATTCAAGCGCCTGAAAATGGCTGAAAAACCCGTTTGTATGTGACATTAATAAACGTCAAATTGTTTTCCGGTCTTGACCGGCGTTTTTACTTTAATTATTTCATAGATTAGTTTAGTTTACTTTCTCTATATTATTGTTTGCCTTTTTTAAAATTTACAATTAACATAACCCTTCTAGTTGCGTTTTATTTTTATAGATGATTATTTCATTTCCTTAATTTTATTTTCATATTTTCTACAAATTGATTTGTTATATAAACAAATAGAAAACGCAACCAAAATAATCAATAGTTCTTATTAGGAAATTTAACTTCCCACGAACGCGGACATCCTGAAATGTGTAAGATGTGCACGCACGCACTATCACTGACCATTTCCTCACAAAAAACACAACACATCACTCACTTACCGAGGATCGGGAGCAATGTTAACACGAGCCACAAGACCGACATGTTGCCGCCAAGTGCGTTGCGAAGGGACTGTTCGAAGCAGCCGAGGAGCCGCCCCTACCAACGTCCCTGAAAGCTCTGCTAGACTAATACTAATAACAGGCCAATCGCAATACTTCAACGCGAGGGGGGTTGAAGTCGTTTATAATACGAGTGATTTTTCTATTTCATTGACTTTAGATTACGAAACATATGCTACTTAAATTGAGCCATTTCAAATATTTATTTCACCTATATTATATTTACAATTTACATTCATTATTACATAGGTACATTGTGTACCTATGTAATAATTGTGGAAAAAAGTGGAAAGTCCATCTCATTCAAGTAAAATAATAGAATTTTATGTTACTCATTATTCAATTCGAAGACAATGAGACGCTATTGCAATCTACCGTTAGTTAAATGTGCATAAAGATTATTTCCTTATGCATTTTATGTTTGAGTTTCATCATAGTACTAAATGTTAAACGCTTCACGAATCATAAACTCTTATTCATATTTGTACTTGGAACGCTTTTCTTGCTAGTAATAGTATAAAAACGTAGTAATATTATTAAATATTCGTATTGATAAAGTAAGTAGAGCAGCATTTTGAAAACTGTATTAGAACAAATAACATTTCATGTCACCTTTCAATATTTATAAGTAATCAATTAAAATATTCAAATTATATTCACACGTACATAACAATTATTTTATATTAAGTTTATTACTTAGTACTATTTACATATTTAATTAGGAATTATGGAACGATCTATTGATCAAATATACAGGAACTCACAACAGTGTTACCAAAAAACTAATTAGGTATCTATAGACAAATGCAAGGACAATCTTATACCTTTTTTAAAACCATTATGGAAATGCGTTTACGCTTCCTTCACACTAAACGCAGCAGGGGTATGTGGGATTCGACTCACAGCAGGCACTCTGCAGAGTGAGCTTACTTACCACATCGGGTACCAACACACGCATCAAAGAGGCCATATGCCGTCGACATAGGTGGCAGGAGATCGGCCAACCCTCTTAATAATAATAATTACATAGTGTGTCGTTTCTACTGATATTCGTGGACAGGACGTACAAATAAGTCCCTTAAACACAACGAAAGAGTAATTGAAAATAAACGTGATTTATGCGACTGGTAAAGTGTGGATCACATAATCTATGGTTCCTCCCATTTGTCGTTGTACGATTTAACTTATAACCATTGTTGTAGCTTAACTGACAGATGTCATACCCTCATACCAGGTACAATTATTAGTAATTACTGCTTACATACCTTAAGAAATGTCATCATTATAAATTGTACATCAAAAGATGGAGCAAAAAAACGTGGCGTAACAAGATGAAAATCTTTAATAAAATAAATAAAAATCTCGCTAAACGCGTTCAGGTTAAATCTATGACCTGCATTAAAAAGACATCAACGCTTCTAATGGTGTTAGCGAAATATTTTTAAATTATAATTAATCGACTTTACTCAATATATGTATCGTTATTCAAAGACAATAAAATCTTATTTTTGTTGTTTTTTGAAATTCTAATTAAAATGAAATTATGTTATAATAAATTTATAAAAATTACTAAATATAAAATGTGTAAAATAATACTCATTTGGTAAGAATATTAGCGTATAATGTTAATATTTTTAGCAAATGAGAATCACACATGCTAAAAGATGTATATGCAAATAATGAGCTCACGTAAAGATGGTTCTCATGTGTTTCACAACGATCGTGTTCCATGCTATAGTTTCAAACACGACTGCAATCGCTTGCGACAATTGTCTAAATATCAAATGCACATTTTGAGTAGATTCTATTTAGTATTTTTATAGTCATGTACTTTATAAAAAGTCAATAAGATTGATGACTGACTAAAAGGTAACTAAACTTTGCATCTACACAACAGATTAACAAATTGTTCAGTTTGAGTTAAAGTGTCAAACGCAATAATTTTTGTTTAAGTAACAGGAGGCAAACGGTTAAGACATGTTAAGTGATACCGCAGCCCACATTGCCAGAGGGCTCGCAAGTGCGATTCCGGCCTTTTAAGAATTGATACTCTCTTTTCTTGAAGGACCCTAAGTTAAATTGGTTCGGAAATACTTCAGTCGACAGCTAGTTCCACATAGTGGTGGTGCGCGACAAAAACTGTCTTAAAAAACGCTCAGTTGTGGAACGACGGACGTCAAGGTTATACGGCAATTAATAATTACTTGGTGAATATCGGTATACATTATAGAAGCATTTAGTATAATGCATTTATGAGCAATCCTTAAATAGGACAACGCAAACAATTTCAGCATCTGTTTTATAAGTAATTTTTATTTAAAAGCAAGTAGATAATCAGCCGTCTGTGCCCACACATGTCGTCGATTTTTGGGCCTCAGATTTGCCGCTTTCCTCGAGACGTTTTTTATCAACATTCACAAGTGTTAGTTGTGCATCTAGAAAGAAAAATCCGCACAGGTGGCAACCAATGACGTCAGAGTTAAGTGCCGAACACTTTACCAGTTAGCCTACAAATATAAGTAACTAAAACTACATTAATAAACATAAGCATTTACCAATATCTAAATTAAAACATAATATGATGACAAACAAAATACACATTAATTTATATTCCATTGCACAGATGTTACATCTCTACTGTGCTCATTGCTTACTTCTAACTTCGGGCGTAGGTCCAACTATTAAGAAACTTATGTTTAATCAATTTATTTATTAATTATTCTATGTATAAGGTAAATATAATAGTTTGCTTATGTACATTGCTTCATAGCAGTAGCTTGTCGTTCTTTAATCTTTATAGTGTGATTATCATTTGGGATTTTTTATTAGTTAATTTGATTATTTAACATTGCTTCGGGTGTAGGTGTTGCCTTAAAGTTAACAACAATAAACAATATTATACATGGCACAAATAATTTAATATATCACTATTTCGTGATATTTAAGCATGAATGACATTAAAGCATACTTACCTTAGACTAAGTGACGCTATTAAAACAGCCATATAATGTTGCATAATCCTACACGAACACAACCACACCGAAGAGCAATCGCTACATACCATCAGATGACCTGTCTAACCTTTTGACTCTCCCATAAAAAGTTCCGCTAACGACAACTTATAAGCCTCTTTGTGCACTTGAAATGTCACGAAACACGCAATTATTTTTTCTTTGTACAAGTCATAAAATTACTCATCAATTGTGATTTGTTTTGGTATAATTGAAATATCAAGACATCGCCGACTACAATGATACAATTAATTGTCAATATTTTATTAGTTTTTATAATAATTCTTCTTTATATAATTGTTACTGGACCGTTTTAATTAATGCAAATGACAACCTTATCAAATAGGTATTTAAAAAGGCTTACTCAGTTTATTTTGGGTGTCAATTTAATAAAGTATAGGTGAATATACTATATGATATTTGTAGATAAAGAGTATTTGGGTCATATCAAATAGGCTAGATCTAGTTGTAATAATCAGAGGTGATTAATCTATACGCTTTCAGGCACAATATGATCGACAGGTAGAACGGGTTGTTGCGATGACCTGTTACATATGTTTATGGCTTGACATATACTTAGCCTTAATGAATCTACTCTCATTTCACCAGTTTGAACTCATCACTTGCGTAATTCTTGCGTACGTTTATTATAGGAACTGGAAGTCCGTGTGCAATATGTACTTTTTATCGCAACTCTGTAATCGAGATAGATTTGTTTGATGTGTTTCTCTTATTAAGATTATTTTATATAGATTCAATTTTGCATGGAATAGAAATGACCTTTCACTTTTCTCGTAAACATAAGTTTTAATTATTTAAAGTGTATTTCAAATTAATTTATTCAATATAAAACGCCTTTAGCAATTGTCAATGTGTGCTATGATTATTTTCGGATCAAAAACAACATATCATCTTTAATAATGGTAACTATAATATAAATAAATATAAAACTCTTCTAACACGATGAATCAAACCTTATGCATCAGCCTTGCGCAGTTGATATGATTGCATCAGCAGTCACAGGTCATCTCTGATTCCACTTGCTGACCACGGTTTCTTTTATTTCTCAAATTACTGTTTATTTCACGTACAGTTATCTAACAGATTGCCTGTTTGAGATTCTTTGTTTTCCTATTATAATTTGGTTAATTATTTTAAACATAGTGTATAAAATGATCAATCTAAATTATTGTGAGATGGGGAAATGTACGGTGTTGATCAGGTCATCTAAGTCTAGTTAGTATATCGCAGTAAAGTACGTGTCACTTGGAAAATTATTGTATAAAAACGTATATTTTAATTTGTTTATTTATTTGGGTAACAAAACAGAAACATCTCTATACAATAAAAATCAAAGTGAAAAAATAAAACATAAAATAAACACATTGGATGTATCCACAAAAAGTTTCACTGATATAAAGCAAAGCAAAACAAAACATGACAGCACGAAATTCATAAATCCGGAGAACGATAAACATACTAGTAGCTATAATAAAGAAGAAAGATGCAGGGATTAGGAACATAATAGTTGTTTTAAATTATTCTTAAATAAAGCAGTAGAGGAGTGCGAAAAAGGGTTGATGTTAGTGGCTGAATCCAAAGCAGAACACATCCTGTGAAGAGGCTCGCGGAACCCAATGTTGGTTCAAGAATATCTGAACAAGTTAGTCCATGTACGCATATTTTTCTTATAGTGACACAATCTATCAAATTACGCCTAGTACCTACTCAAAGAAAGTAAGTTATATTTTTTTAAAGTTCCTCGTTAATAGTAGAGATTACGCCGAAGTAAGCAACACTATTTAAAGAATTAATAGCATGAACAACATCAACAACATGACCAACATCAACAAATAAATTTATTCTATTTTTTATTATTCCAAGTACGAACAAATATATTTACAATGGATGCGTGTACATTAAACTTTCATAAGTTCAGTTTGTCTAGACTTTGCCTTTGTTTACTGAATCT